TATGCCAATTGAAGAATAGGTCAATCAAGGGCAAATAAACATTGTAATATATATATATATATATAAACATAAAGTTTGGTTAGATGAATCATTGAACATCTAGAGTGGGGGCAAATGAATGATAATGAGTTTCCGTTAATAGGGTTTTATATAATATAATCGATGCGATTGATGGATTATTTTGACCAATTAAAGCAATCAATTCAACAACCACTTTCAAAATATGGATGAACCACATGCAATTTTGTCCTACATAAAAATACTTACTTGATATTGTCGTCCATAGCTCAAGTGTGTAGAAAATATATGAAATAAAGATTTAATAAATAATTTCTTATATAAATCAAAATAGATGTTAGAAAAGTACGCAGAACAAACATATTTGTTGTCACTAAAATAATTTTTTTGGTCGCAATTTTAATCATATTTGCACTAATTAAAATTAATATTAGCCTGATTAAAACAAGCTCCACTTCTTAAGAAAATAATAGCCCTATTAATTAAATCACAAAAAATATTTATATTAATTGCACTCTGGCGGTCCATAACCCAATATTTAAAGTGCTTTAGCAAAGGCTTCAAATATAAATTTTTATAGCTGCAATATTCTAATTTAAGGATTTTAATCTTTTTTGTGTGAAAATAATATAATTATTTTAAAAATTGTCTGAATATATAATCATCTATATATTAAAAATAATATATATATATATATATATATAATATTAAACATTTTAAAATCTATCCTAAATGAATTTTAATAAAAAATTGGCTTTTTTGCACGTGAATTCAGAAGAATAGTAGGTTTCATTGTCTTAAAATTTGTTCAAATGTTTTACAAATAATTAATGCTCTAACTTGTGCGCTACAATGCAAAATAGAACGAATAAAATTAATCATTAGTTGCGTTGTTCAATAATTTTTATTACTACTGATACATTTTAAGCAAATCTGCAACATCCGACAAGAATCTCGAGACATAACATAGATATCGAAGTGGCTTTGAGTAAGAAATATTCAAATAAAGTCATACTTGCTACTACAAGGAATAACAAGTATGAGTCTATGCCTATGGAGAAATGAGAAGAATTAGATCAAATAGTAGAATGTTTTTCATACATCTTTGTCAATGCCGCCACGACATCAAATATAATTTTCTCATTTAAGATTTTGAATGCAACAGATGAGGAAAGTGACAATCTGATCAAACCTTGTATTCTCAGGCTTCTTTGTAATTCCTTGCAGTGGCAAGCATAACTTTTTTTCTGATACAACAAATCTTTCACTTGTTTCTTCCAGAATGTTAAGTTCGGCTAATTAAACTTTTCCACTTTGAATCTTGCTTCATCAGTGTTTGCTCCCACTCGAGTCAAACACCGTTCTAACGCCACTTTGTTGGGAGAAAACAAAACTCTCTCAAGGATTCCCTTCCCATAAACCACCCCACAGAATTGGTTCGCATATATTCAAGGAAAAACCTGAAATAAACTTAAGAACAGAAGCACAACAAAGCAAACCAAAAAATGACAAGAATTTAACGTGAAAAATTCAATAACAAAAAAAAAAAATCACAAAACCACACCACCAGAAAGCTTCCATTATAAAAATCAGAGTATATAGATAACACACTCAATTTCCTCTCTACACTCAAGAAAACTTACAAGACCTCACTCCAAACTGCTCCTATTCTGATCTGACGGAAGAAAAGCACTTCTTGATTACAAAAGTACTCCTCTCTGACACTAATGTATGACACCAGAAACTTGTCGAAGAACTCGAACAGAAAAACCACACTTATGCCGTTGAAATTCAGCCTTAAAACAAAAACAAATAGTACAAACAGCTCCGGACACATAGGCGACCGGACGACGTCTATGCACCAATGTCTCTGATGCGAGGGCCTAAGATGGGCGCATATGGAACCAATAGTGGGCGCATATGCACCATAAACCAGCGCATAGGCGCCGACTTCACTGGAGCGAGCAATGCCCAATATGGGTGCATATGTGCCATAGGCCAGCACATAGCTGCCGACTTCTTTGTGAGCAGCGCCCACAACCCGACGCATATGCATCGGGCCCTCGGTCTCGTGTAGGTGCTTCGGCTCCACAAACTCAGCATATATTCTATTTTAATGGATATCACTTTTGATAAAATTGATAGCTAATTCATCCAAACTCATCTTGGTGAGGGGAATTCTAAGCTTAAAGATACGTTTGATTATATTTTTTATATTGACAGCACCCAATATACTACAAATATAGGCCATACATCAATTTTACCGTCACAAGTCTATCCAAGAAGAAATAAGCTCAACCAAGATCTCCAGGAAGCCCAGGACTCGAAATCAATACAAAGTAACACTAAGCAGCCTACAACTCATTTATATTTTATTTCATTGTATGCCTTGTTTCATAAGTTCTCTGTCATATAGTCTTTCTAACCAACATCAATATCAACCCCATTTTTTTCCACAAACTATTTGAGACACTTAGAAAATAAAAATTGGAAAGATTCCATGAGAAAAGAAATGTATGCCCTAAAATAAAATCATACATAAGAGTTTTTTGAATTTCCAAAAAAAAAAAAAGAATATAATATGATGCCATTAAATTTTTCACAGTTAAATTCAAAATAGATGGGAGCCTGAAAAAGTACAATGTAAGATTTGTTGCAATATTATATGCAAAATTATATGGGGTGGCTATCAAAAAATTTTGCTTCTAATATGAGAATTTTGCTTCTAAATCATGGGTGATATAGACAATAATATGATGTAAAAATACTTTCTTATATGAGCACGTCGATCAAGAGTTTTATATGAATCCACCACCATGATTCAATAGCTCCTTTAGAAGGCCCTATACTAAGTAAAACATTAACCAAGGGTTTAGTTTGGCAAATTTATAAAGGCTATGGTGGGAGCTAAATAAAAACAAAGCCAGGAAGACTATGCTCTTTTTATAAAGAACTGAAAGCAATATCTTAATGATTTTTTGTATATGTTGACAATATGATTGTTATGGGGAAGACAACCGAGAGAAAAAGGCTCTCAGAAAAGAGCTCATTAAAATATTTAGAATCGAAGAGCTAAGAAAACTCGAATACTTCATGGGAATAGAAACGGCTCAATCTAAAAATAATATTTCACTCTCCTAATAAAAATATGTTTTGAACTGCTAAAAGAAATCAAGAAGATAATGGAACTCCAACTGAACCAGGATAAAAATTGGACCATGATGAAGAATAAAGTGGATAGTTGACAATATTTAATGTTAGTAGAAAAACTAATCCACTTATCCACACTCATCCAAACATTGAATGCTCAATAAATCTAATATGCTAATTTATGCACAACCAAAGGAATCTTACCTTCAAACCACTTATTAAATTTGAAAATTTCTTCAAGCAAACCCAAAAAATAAATTCTATATAAAAGATATGATACCCTAAAAATTAAAAGATACTCAAATACACTTGTGGATAAAATGTTTACTTTAGAATATTGTACATTTTTAGAAGGAATCTCATAGCTTAGTGAACCAAAAAATAGCATATGGTTTCAAGATCAAATATTGAAGCAAAATTTAGAGCCATTACTAAAGAAATCTATTAGCTTCTTTGAATCAAAATCATATTAGATGATATAAATAAAAATAGAAAGAGCTTATAAAAATATATTATGATTAAAAATTGGCCATCAATATCACACACAATCCAATATAATAAAATCATATCAATCATGTTAAAATTTGATAAACATTTCATAAAAGAGAAATTATTAAGCGCCCTGAATTGCACTTCATACATTTCCACAGGGAATCAACTGACAAAGATATTCACCAAAAGACTATTTAGCCTCAAAATTAAAAATTGTATAGACAAACTTGAAATAGTAGATTTCTACCATCCAAATTGAAGGGGAGTGTTAAATTTCTGCTACACTAACATAATATAGTACCGCACTACAAAAACTCATTATAATAATGCAAGCTATAGTGGGACCCACTCATTTCCAATCATAACAAAGGATTTAAGGCATACAAATCAAAGCCCCGTATTATTGAATCAATATCTCTATGACCCTCAGATTGCAATCCATATGCTTCTCTATAGGATTACCAACACTTTCTAATTTTTCCCCCTTTTCTTAACTTAATCCTATTTTATAATGTCTCCTGAAGATGTACAAATACCTTCCCTTTGGTACAAATCAAATATAGTAAAATTCTGGTGAGTTTTTTCAATATTTCTTTATTTTCTACAAGAAAATTTTTTTCCATTGTTTTATTTCTAAGAAAATGAAACCTCTAAAAAGACTGCTATTACAGATCTTCCGCTCATGCTTCTCAAAAAAAAAAACCTCCCTCTGCAATTTTGTCCAGAATGTTGTTGCAGTGTTAATATTCATGAACTCTGAACTGTAGCTTTTGAAACCCACATGACAGCTAATTCCTTGAAAATATAAATCAAAAATCATAAGCACAAAAGCATAATTAAATGATTAATGTAGACTTCAATAAATATCTAAAGGATAAAGTAAATTATTAAAGAAGGTTCAAAATCTCTCTTTTTCCTAGGGTGGATCCTACAAAGGCGCTGTTCTGCTAAGGCGGGAGATATTCTTTTAACAAGGGCGTGACCCAAGTAACAGCCATTTGCTCAGGGGAATAAAAAAACTCAGTTCTAGAGTTTAAGAAAGACTCGTAATAGCAGCCTAGAATGAACTGTTTAAATAAGTTTATAACAAAAACTTAATGAATTCCCGAAGAGTATGAAATGTAGCAGCTATCTCATATAGAAGGATAACTTTAAAAAAAAAAGGAAGATTTACATACGAACTACTCAATTCCTATGTGTTCACACATCTAACATCTAAACTTCAATTTTACATACATGTCTCCTTACCTATGCATGAAAATATGTATTTCACTTTCTATAAAAGTTAAAATGATGGTATTTTTGGGGTTATATGAATGATTTGGGTGATATAAATGTAAGAAGTAAAGTTTAGGTTCTAGATATGTAAATACATTGGAACTGAGTGGAATGAATGTACATGCCCAAAAAAAATGTTAGTAGATTTGATCACTAAATACCTGAGGTATAGAAGAGACTTTACTATTCCCAAAAGAACTGCAGTCAATTTAGTAATATGCAAAATAATTGATTCTAAGTATAAGGTCTAGCACTCAAATTGTCTTTCATGTCAGCCCTATCCATTTCTTGAAGCCCAAACCTGCTTCTCTCCTCTTATACTGAGCCTCAGTCTGGATCTTAGGTGCTTTTCCTTTGTACAAAGTCCTGTGATACTTCAGCCAAAGTGACCTATACTTGTACTTATCAATAAACATTCTTTCCGCCTCCATTTTCTCAATGACTTCCATCGCCCGAAGAAAGAAGCCACCTCTCACAAAACAATACAAGAACAAATCCAACAACTCTTGATCAAGTTTCACCGAGCCGGAACTTGCAAGTACTTTCATTTCGCCCCACAAATCCGTAACTTCAACATACTTACCTCCAATAGCGGCATAGCCGGTGACCAACGAGTGAAACGTGTGGGCATTAGGGATGTATCCCAAAGCCCTCATCTTGTTCAAGGCTTTCTGAGCATCATGCATCATCTTCTTCTTGCAAAAGAAGTGTATCACATTGTTCCAATCATGAACACCATAATCCGTCTTCTGGTTGTATTTTATTTCTTCTAGTAGCTTAGACATCAGGCCAGCTTCACCACTCCGTGAGCAGCCTTCCACCAACTTTTCAAACTCATTATTACCTGATCTTGATATATTAGAAGCTTTCATCTCTTTAAAAAGATGAAGAGCTCCACTTGAATCATTATGACGCGCCCGAGATTGTATCAAAGACTCGTAACAACTGGAATCAAGCTGAATGCCTGCCTTACGAGCATCTTTTAAAAGTGTGTCGATCTCAGCATGACGATTCTCCTTGCAATAAGCCTTTAAGAGAGAAGAATAAACAGAGGAACCTACTTTGACTCTGTAAAATCTCATCTCATCCAAGAGGTCATGTGCTTGTTCCAACAAACCTAGAGAAACACATGCATCAATCACCTGAACAACAGTTGAGTTCTCTACGGAGACAGGTGATTCCTCTTTACTAGCTTTGACAAGAAAAGCTGCCAAATCGCTTATTCTACTTATTTCCAAGAATCCTCTCACAAGTTTTGCATAGATTTTCTCAGTTGGGTGAAGAATGCCATCTTTAGATCCAACCAGTTCAACACGAGCCTTCAACTTTTCTGACAACAATGACAGCGCCTCCTTCGCCTCAGTTTCAAGCCTAGAAAAATTACGGTCTTTTGTGAATTCAGCATAAGTTGGAGCTGGGCTTTCAAGCAACACACATTTATCAGTTTCAGAATTATGAAGATGAGAGACCTTATTTCCACCCTCAACAGCTTCTAGCATGCAATTTACAGCAGCCAGCGAACGCTTTGCTTCGCCTGCCTTTCTGAGCATATCCAATATCAAACCTGTAGCAGAATCTAAGTCACCAAATTTCAAATGTGAGGACAATAAGCAGTTATAAAACTGCTGAAATTGGGAGTCTGTGAGATCACACGACTCATCAACAAACCGTTTCAGTTTATTTATCTCATCCCTCCACCCATTTTTCTCGTATATGTGAGCCATTGTAATCAGCAAGCCAGCATCAGCCTTCACCCCAACTCGAGGCATTAGCTGGAGAAGCTGATCACCTTTTCTTGTAAGCTCATGTAATATGCATCCAGTGAGTGCTAGATTAAAGACAAGGGAGTTTGGCTTCATTGATAGCAATGGCCGGTTGATCTTCTTCCTAGGATCAACCCTATTGTCCTTAAAGAGAAAACCAATTTCCATAATCAGCTCAGCAGCAAGAAAGGCACCATCAGCAGTTTGACACAGATAGCCTATGACACCAGACCAAGCTGAAACAGGGGGAAATTCTTCTGTCTGAACCAATTTTCTCAAAGCATTTGCGGCGAGAATAGGTTGTTGGCACCTTGAAAGGATGAATGAAAGAAAAAGAAGAGGTTCTTTGTCCAAAAGATTGGGCTTTTCATTAAAGACGATATCTACTATATTAGAAGCTTTTTGGAGCCAAAAGGAATCACAGCTCTCAGCAAGACCTGCAATGAGTTTGTTCAAAATTGATTTACGAGGGAAGCCATCCATATGCACAAGCTTCTCATATTCATTCAAAGCGTCTTCAAATCTTTCTTCGTCTATCGCATATAGTATATTTAACGCAAGTTGAGAAGGATCACGAGCTTGAACTAATATTGGTTCAGCTGTAGTTGGTAAAAGGTTTTGGAATTGTTCAGAGTTGCTCTTTGAGAGTACAACAGTTTCTTGGGAGACATAAGGTGATGCCATGACAAGCTTGAAAGGTCCAAGCTTCAGATGTTCCAACTGAATATTGTTCACCTTCCACGAATGAAGGTGAAACAAAAGACATAAAGGAGAAGTTTGAAAAGCAGATTTCCTGATGGAATACATTTTTGCTAATCACAGGGCAACTCTACATATTAGGCTTTACTTGGACAACTTATGCCAGGACTCCATGGATTTCCATCCATCAAAAGACGACACATTGTAATTCAATACAGCATAAGAATGTCCACTCTGCAACTAAACCTTCTTAAAAGGGCTTAAATCTGGAAAAAAAAAAAAGATGTTATTAAATTAGTGACATATACCAACTTTAAACATACTGAAATGTGAAAACAACTCAAAAGCATGCAGATGATGACAAATAAGAATGTAAATTTAAGAAACAGAAACAAAAAATTGGCAATTGGTGTCCCCGCCATTGAAGCCACAGGATTATCGGATAATCAACATCTGCTACATACTGTTAAGCTATACTAGATTTCAAACTAATTTGTTGGGCTTAATGTTTAAATATTGGTTACATAAATTACATTTTAATTCAACTTAACCACATCTAGATGCTGCACAAATCTGTCAATGTTGATTTGTGCAGATTTGTGATGCCCAAAAGAAATTAGGTTACATAAATTACATTTTAATTCAACTTAACCACATAACAATCAACCTTCAAGTTCTGTTATTGTAGGCTTCGCCTGCTATGGTTTCACAAGATATTCAAATAGATTCAGTTTATGTTAATCGGGAAATTACTCTATAGTTGATTTAATTTCTATTTTGGGCATTGAAGTTATATAGAATTAATTTGGATTGATTTCATGCAAACATTATTCACCAACCTAGAGACAATGAGTTCATAAATAAATGTTTTTAGGCATATAGTAAGACAACTTTAATTGAATAAAAAAATTTTGCTAAATCTTATACAAGCAAATTAAATATGCGATTTCTTCAAGAGCGGCGCAAGTGAGACTACGTAATTTAAGGAAATTTATGTCCCTGTATAGGCATGAGACAGATTTCTTATTTTGGTGAAACTTTTTCTTTATCTAATTTCTTACACATATCATATAATCTATCGGATTGCTAGTGTTTCTAACTTTATTCAGAACATAAATGAAATTTTAGTTACGGCAATTAAATTACAGTTACCCATTGATTTTGTTTGACTTGAATTTCCTGATAGTTTCTTTTAATTTATTCAATCGCCATATTATCATTTGGGCAATAGCTCCCATATTTATTGTTTTCATTTAAAAAATCCAAATTGTTAGTCATTTGGTTGTTTGTGATCTGTGAATCCTAAGTTCAGTAGCCTGAGGATTTGAAGCTTGATGGACTAACCACATCTAAGTTGGTCACGTCGGATTGAGGCGGCTCTAGTAGGGAAGAGACCTGACCGAAAATAAGCCAAAGAATGACAGAGCTAAGGAGGATCGGTGGAGAATGACACACACCTTAATCTACACCTGGCTACTCAACTAGATGGTGCTGTCAACATTCGAAAGGTGAGGGGCATCTTGGTAAAGCTGAAGAGGATTTATGATGAGACTGAGAATCACGTGAGGGTGTTCAGATTCAGCAGTGGCACATTCAAGGGTACGTTATAGAGCTAGAGTAGTTATGAACAAATCTCGATCACTTCTCACCAATGTTGAGCTGCAGCGATCCAAAGTGCAAGAAAGAGAGAATCTTTGCTCGAGGACCATGCAGTTTCTAGCCCACCTAAACCCAAACCCGGCCTTTAATCAAAGGAGATTTGCCTCTTAACTCAAATGGCTATCCTTTCACTGGATGAAGTCATTGATGCGATGATACAAGAGGAGAGTCGCATGAAGCTACACTCTGAGCTGAGTGAACTTCTGAGTGAGCAAAAAACTTTGGCTGCCTCGAGCTCAAGTATGATAGATATCCAGGGGGAGACTTGCAAGTGCTACAGTTGTAGTAAAGTTGGGCATCTGAGCAAAACCTATCATAGGCCACCTTAGGAAAGAAAGAAAGATGAACATAGACAGGGTGGAGGTCGCGGTCGTGGTCGTGGTGGTCAAAAAGATCGAAAAGGTGGCTATCGGGCAAATTTGATGGTAGCAGAGGAGAGAGAGAAAGATGTGATTTTTACCAAAGAGGATCATAAGAGCCTGAAGTTGTTGAAGAGGAAGCAGAAAGCAGGAGATGGGACTGAAGGTGCTTCCAACCACTCATCATCAATGGGTAACATTGTCATTTATGCTCACTTTGACAAAGGTACTTGTTATACACATGTTCTTGTTTCTATTTCCACCACAGAATCGTCAGAATAAATAGTAGATTTTGGTGCATCTCGATATGTGATAGATACTACTAGAGAATTTTCTTCCTATACTCCCCTAGCAGTACCAAAGAGCATCCAGATTATTGATGGTATAACGCAGTCTGAAAATGGCAAGGGTACAATTAATGTTTTGCATGCTCTTTCTTTTCCAGTGAACACTTTATTCATTAGTGTCATTATTCTCCAACTAAAATGTGTTATTTCTTTTGATATTCCTAAGATGGTCTTTCTCTTCGAACCGGACACTTGGGGCTGGAATGTGACATAGTGGACTCTAGCACTTGGATCGAGAGGGGATAAACTCAGCTTTGATATCCATGATAGAGAGTGTAAGAGTAGGAGAATACGAGAGGAGTGTAGAGGAATGTGTTGCTGCTACATCACATATGCATGAGACACTTATTTTAGTTCATTGAGTTGGTTGTATCCTCCTTTGTATGAAAAGACAAATAAACAAAAGTTTATTTGTGATGCTTGTGAGTTTGGGAAACTTATTAGGAGTTCTTATATCAATTATGGGAATAGAAGTTCTAGAGTTTTTGACTTGATACATCTGATGATTGGGGACCTTGTTCTACAAGTTCTATGAATGGTTATCGATATTTTATGACATTTATTTATCATTTTTCTTATGTTACAAGGTTATATTATATTAAAAATAAGAGTGATATGTTTGATTGCTTTAAAGACTTCCACAAGACAATCCAGACTCAATATGGTGCAATAGTGAAGATATTGTAATTTGATAATGGGACAGAGTATACCAACAAAGCATTTGAGATTATTTATCAACCCAAGAAATACAACAAACTACATGTCCATACACACCAACAAAAAATGGAGTAGCTAAGAGGAAAAACAAACACTTTATATAAGTAGCCCAAAGCATGACAATCACAATGAAATGCCAAAACACTTATGAGGGCTAGCAATTTTAACAGCTATTCAATTGATCAAAAGGTTGCCCTTGAGGGTGTGGAATTGAAAATCTCCTTGTTAGATATTGAAAGAAGATAATAGCGAGATATTTCCATTGAAGGTGTTTGGTTGTGAATGTTTTGTGAAGGATGACAAGTCATCAGTAAAGAAGCTGGATTCCAGAGGTGTGAAATATGTGTCTATAGGTTATTTTGCTACCCAAAACGGATATGTCTAGTGGAGGCCGATAGAGAATAGACTGTTTGGGAGCATAGGTGTGTCATTTAGAGAATTTGACCTCACCTTTTGGTAACTCGTCGGATGCTGGAGATATGAGGAAAGTAGTGGCATGTAGCAATGGTGAGAGAGTGGTACAAGTGAGAGCAATGTATTTAAAATCAGAAATTGAAGAGAAAATTTTATTTCATCTTACTGATTCAATTCAAGGTCATTTACATATAGAAGTCTCTCCTCTTTAGATAAGGAAACTAACTAAATAAATTCAAAGAAATTCCTATTACATTCCAAGGCTAATTAAGCAAGATAAAAAATAAGGAAGGAAAATAATATCTGTAGAAAAGAAAAGACAATAAATATTGTAATTTGAATTTTGAATTTTGAATTAGATCCTTCAACACTCCCCCTCAAGTTGGCATGAAGATATCTTTCAGAGTCAGCTTGCATACTAAACCGTCGAACTGTTTTTTTGTGAAGACCCTTTGTTAGAATATCCGTTGCTTGGTCGTTGGAAGGAACATACACCATGCAGATATCTCCATTGTCAATTTTTTCTTTGATGAAGTGTTTGTCTATCTCTACGTGCTTTGTTCTATCATGAAGAACAGGATTAAAGCATTTGTAACCTCTTTTGTTTGAGACATATCCAAGAAAAATGCATTTTTCAGATTTTAGATCCAATTTTGATCGGCAATTATTCGGAATATGAACGAAACATGTGTATCCAAAGACTTTTAAAGGAATATTTGAAGACATTCATAGACTTAAAAAATTGTTTTTCAGTTTATTTAGAGGAGTTGTATATTGTAAAACTCGAGGTGGCATTCAGTTTATTAAATATGATGATGTTAAAACAGCGTCCCCCCATAAATATTTTGGAACATTCATTGAAAACATGATAGCCCGAGCAACCTCAAGTAAATGTCTATTTTTTCTTTCAGCAATTCCATTTTGTTGTAGAGTGACACGACAAGTAGATTGATGAATTATGTCTTTGTTTATTAAGAACTCCCCTAAACATTCATTAAAATATATAGTTTCATTGTCAGATCTAAGGATGCATATTTTAGTTTCTAATTGAGTTTCAATCATGTTGTAAAAATCTTTAAAAAGTTTTTCAACTTCTGATTTTTTGCTTATAAGATAAACCCAACATATTCTGGTGTGATCGTCAATAAACATCACAAATACTCTTTTCCCAGATAATGTTTTGACTTTTGAAGGTCCCCAAACATCACTATGGATCATGTAAAAAGGTTTTGAAGGAGAGTATGGTTTTGGAGAAAAATTTATACGATGACTTTTTGCCAATTAACATGTTTCACATTGAAGTAAAGCACAATTAACACCCTTAAACAAATTTGAAAATAAATGTTTTAAATAAGAAAAACTTGGATGACCTAGTCTAAGATGCGATTCCATTATTTTCTCTAATGCAGGGTTCGACCTCATAATGTTGTAAGCTTCAACCTTATTTTTACCAGGAACAGTCTCCTCAAAATAGTAAAGTCCTCCTATCTTTTTAGCTCTCCCAATCATCATCCCCGACTTCTGGTCCTGAAAAACACAAGAGGATTCACAGAAAATTATACGGCTCCTTGACTAGGGTTCTCCTTATTTTCAACAACTATTTCAGGTTCTTTGTTTTCACAGACCTCAGGTGTACTTGATGTTATAACAATTTTTGGTAATGGGTTATAAACTTGCCAAAAATCATCTTCTCCATCTATATTATACTCCCTCTGAAGTGGATTTTTGTGAAAGAAGAGAATTTTTTCCATGAAGGTCACATCCATACTA